CCTTTACAGATTAAAACTGGGTCGTGAAATAATTCAAACGTATATAATATTCTCTCTTTTTAGCAGAAGAGAAAGAAAAGATTGCGAATCAATAAATCTCGAAATATTTTCAAAGTGCAGTCGTGTTACCGAAAAAAAAAAAACGATAAGATGACACTCTTCTCGAATTTCCAATCAGGTCTTTCAGCGCAAAAAACACGCTCAAATCCTTCTCCATTCAACTTCCGTAATTTTTCAGTTTTTAACATTAAGAGCCATGAATAAGCCCACCCAACTTTGAAGATAAAAGTCGCGAAAAATAACCGCTACCTAAAAAGGTATCTCTAAAAAAACGTCACTATCACAACGCGGGTCCCCTCGTTCTTCACATCCGATGTGGAGAACATATCTTCTAATATTCCTCGTCTTCCGTTCGGCCGCGTTAGGATCCGCTAAAATAATGTTACATTAAGCGAAGATCGATCGTGAAAAAAGTATACGCCAGAAGTTAATGGCAATTTTACGGGAACCTGGGTGTCCCCCGTTCCTATATCTCGAATATCGCGACGTACTTTAATTGCAATAACTCACCTACAGCGTAACGTACCAGCCCGCTCGTTTGTTCTATCACCCGAAAAGAGCGATAAATTCTCTCGGAGTGCACTTCCGTCTAATGCAAGCGCCGACGCACGCACCCCGGTAGTTTTATTTGTCCATACGTTTAACCGCGACAAAGATATGGACGGTATGCCGACGGTATGACGGTGACACGAACATTATTATTCCTTCGCTCGCGAAATTCAACTTTATGCCACGTGTGGGAAGCCGTCTTAAAGTTTGGGACAATGTGAACGTGCCATTAGACCACTTGATTAAGTATTCCGCGGTTATAGTACAGAATTCCTGATACAAATATGTCCAATGTTCTAAATCACGTCGTATAATATCGCGCCAGGAATTCTACTTAAAGTTTCGAAAAATAATAATACTCGAGAGTACTTGACTGCTTATTATTATATATAAAAATAAAACATTTAATTTATATTTATAATATAAGTTTATACATATAAACTTATATATATATGAACATCTCATAATTGATTTTAGTGATCCAAAAAGTATTTATTAATTAAAGCGCAAAAATATTTATAATCGATAAGAATATAGATATTTTTTTAATATATAGATATTTAAAATGTTTTTAAAATTACATCAAGAATATTACATTTAGAGCCTATTTATGCGCTTTATATATATTAACGTATGACTGAAAATTCAGCTTACAGGGGCGACTACTCACTAAAATTATTATTGATATTATAAAGTTTGAAATTTCTCAGAAATTTCGCATATATGAATCTGTTGTATGTTTTCAAAATGTACCATATATGAAACTCTCAAATACACATACAAGATAAATATTTAGTACAAGATAATATAATGTTATTCATGCATTCTGCTACAAAAATATTGTCTGTAAATAAAAATATTGCTAATATATTCAATTTAAAAATTCCTATTACGAACTTTTATGTTCCTGTTCAAACAAACGTCACGTCGCCCAAATTTAACGTTCGTGTCGGATGTCAAATATCAAGGCAGTTTTCTTGCTCGTTTCCTTAAAGACCAGCGGATTATAAATATCCCGCGGCCATGCTATTTTTACAAAAAACGGAAGACAGCTTCACTTATCACTGGTCTCGTTTACCGCGAAATACACTGGATTTTTCGCAATCTCATCTACCGTGAAATATATCGAAACTGCACGCTCGTTACGTAGAAATAATTTCTTCCAGTAAAAAGGTCGGTACGTGAAGATATCCAATCGGAAATAGTGTAAATTGGCTTCATTCGTGCGATAATTTTTCAAATAAAGTTCCGCGCTTCCGAATCGGAGATACATAAATGTCGCAAAATGTCAGTCTTGCAATTAAATTGTGGGATATACTGTCAGGAAGTCTTTAGTGGTCTCGCAAAATAAAACTGTCATGTTCTTAATGTTTGAAATACATTAAAATAATTTATAAATAATTTATATCATTTTATTATAATATATCTATAAATTGAATTTTCATAATATTATACACGTGATGTACGTATCAATATTTATATACTACATTAATATTACAGAAAGTACTTATTTTTTATTATTATTGTTGCATAACATAACATTTAAATAATGAACAAAAAATGCTAAAATCATTCCACAATTGTGTTTCAAAAGCATTTATATTAGTAAAATTGCGTTACAATATTTCCAGAATCGTAATGGAAATATCCAGGCAGGATATTTCCAGAACTTAATTATTAAAAATCACTGTTGGATGATTTAATTGTGTCGAGATCAAGTAATATCCTCGTTGCGTTATATTCGAACATTATCTTAATGCAGATATAATCAATTTATCCCATTTTCTCGATTTCTATTTTCTTTTATATTAAATTTACGAAAAACACCATTAGGTAGATTCGGTATTTTGTACTTGGGGATACGAAACAAACAAACGTAAGAAAGTGGCAGAAACGAGATCATGTTATGACGTGGGAAATTCGTGGCGTGTAATTCATCATACTTTTCTCGAATGTACACTGCAAAGAAGTTACGGAATAGGTACTTTAATCTAAGATGAGAGCTACAGGAAGGCATCGAGCAGAAGTATAGCAACGTTATACTATATTTACTCCTCTCTCATAGATGTAACGCGATATGCGGAAGTGGAAGATCAGATTATATGACTTGACGAAGTTTTCGGGTTGAGAAAATTTTAATTCCGGACTCTAACCACTTCGTTCGAGTAAAATATGCGCCGTCAATGTAATATAATATTTCCCGTACTTTTATTTAAAAAATCTAAAATAATATTAATGCATATTAAATAATGTATTAAAATAAATATATGGTGTAAAATCAATTTTATACATATATATAACGACAAGATTTTATTAGCCAATTAAATTTGAGTTATTATTATTTTATCTTTTATAAAAAACAATCTTTGAAACGCATATCGATATTAATCACGATATTGATAATAATCACTGTTCCTAAAAAAGAAATTAAATTGACGTTCCTAATATATACTTCATTTTCCGCGTTGGATCGTTCCCAATCCAGTTAATTACATCTCATCGAGTTGAGTAAATCTTTCCCCATGGCTAAGTATACTTTATGTTCTTCACGATCAATTATTGTTTCGTTAAAATGTAATTTTCTCACTTCTCTATAAAAGAAAAATGTAATATATAATATAATGTGAATATGTAATGAATAAAAAATGTAATATATAATATATTTGACAGAAAAAATATTATTCTAGGAAAGAATCACGAGAATTTGTCGAGAATTTCTTAACTAGCAGATTAAAAGCTATGATGAAGAAACAGTTTTTATGTCAAACAAAACCTACATGTTTTAATATCTAGAAATATCTTAATCTAATAGAATATTAATTTTAACAAATTCCTACAAACATCACGCTTACATATATAATATTTAAATTCTAAAAACTTTCTTTATATAATAGTATAGAATGTTATACTATATTTCCGAAGATTTCGGGAAAGAAAAAGATTATGGAGGCCAAGATGTATCTCAGTTATAGTTTAGTTGTGTCACACAATTTCCAACTAGTCCAAGAAAACAACCCCCGGAATAAACGGATAAAAAGTTATCGATTTTGGAAAAGCGCGACGAGAGAGCACTTCAGAAACGAGTGTACGTAAACATTCATCCGGGATAACAATGCACAATCGTGTTTATCGTAAACCGTAGCGTACACTTGCATTGATCGCAGACGATCGCGAAGCGTCGACAATCGCAAAATCACACAATATACCTACAAATATTACGTTGACACACATATGCACAAGTAACGCACAATGCGTATGCAACACACGAGCCACATGCGACGTTTTATACAAGTTGGATTTATTAGAGCTGCGAGGACCAATGGACACATGAAAAATACATTACAACGTATACGCACATTGTGCGACATTACTTCAACGGAATTAAATTTCACGCTTAATTACCGAACATATATTATCATGTTTTGCGTATTAATTATATCATTATCATTTTGTAATGTTAAATAGAAAACCATGTGCATTTAATATATATACCGCACGAATATTAAACGTATCTTTGATTAAATTCACGCTCTTGATATACAATATTTCATACGCGCATAATGGAATTTTGATCTAGTAATTATTTTCGGGATATTTACTTATCTGACCCGACATTTATTTATGCAATTACGCAACTGTAACTCTTTCTCTCTTTCTCTTGAATAATGCCCGACTGAAGTTACATCGTTTATTATGTTATGCCTTGTTTATTACTTTAACTATAGAACTCGCTATTGACATTTAGCTATCTCGCTTGTGGTGTGCCCTATATAATTACACATAGAGCAAAATGTAACCGAAATCTCGACGGAACTAATATCCATTCAATTTATTTATGACTTTCAACAAACTTCTGTATCTCGGGAGATCATCTCGGATGAAAGGTAGGAACTGGGAGTTGGGTCCAACCTTTAATTGCCAGATTATAAAGGAGAAGCGATAATGACGTTTATTAGACCGCATCAATGGAAAAAGTGTCACAACAGAATTCATTTCGGGAGACCTCCAGTAGATTTGATTTTCAAATTTGCGTAGGTATAACAGTTGCGCGTTGCTGTTAACAAATAAGATTTTATTCCACTGTGTCATAGAATAACGTGAAGTAAATAGTAAATCTTACTTCGTAGAGCAACCGATTAAAGAAAAATGCATTTATACTTCGAACAATGTCCTTTGTTACTCGTGACCTTTTCTACGAGACTCGTGATTTGTAGCACTTTCTCCGAGATGAGAATCAAAACCGCCATACGAGAGAATCCAGCATCGGCACGTGCACAGTAATTTGCTCGCATGCAATCGTTCAAACAGCGTGCAATAAATCTCATCGGTCATCGTCGGCACCCCCGGCTATCCTACCGATTTCGTGTCTCGCTGAGACAATTTTTACTCACAGACTCTGCGACAAGAACCGCGACAGCGCCAGTTTGCCGATACGATTGTTTTTCAGGCCGTCCAACATAGCCGACGCCGCGACTTCCATTTTCGCGTTACCTCGTCCTTCGTCACCTAAGAGGATTTAGGATATTCGAGGCGCGGAGCGTTTTCCACGAATTCAATCGACTTGCCCGTCGATTTTCCGGGAGTCTCCCACGCCGGAAACGGTTGCTCTTACCCTCGCGCTCGCTTTATCTCCCGATGGCGACGCACTCTACGTCCCCGTTGCCGATTCGCTGGCAGCTCGTCGATACATCTCGTTTCATGTTTCGGTCCCCTCACCGTCCCCTCTCTTTTGTTCAGACTCCTCTCGCGCTCGAAGTACAAACTTTCTTTCTCCGCCTCGTATCTCGCGACAAGGAAGAAGAAACTTTACGGTGCAACGACGGAAGGTGCAGTTATGCGAACTTGGGTCGCTTCGATGAATCGATTCGATGTTCTCGTTGACGCAGGTAATTCACCTCTCCTGCCTTCGACGGCCACGCGCTATCGATCCCGACGTGCGTCGTTATCGAGTGGGACTGCCTTCGCGAACAAATAATCTCGATTTATCGTTTTTCGATCGGCAGCCTCTTGTTCGATTCTTTTTCTGTTACATCTATCACCGCTCACACTGTTATCTTTTTCGTTCCCGACCGGGCGCTCACTTCTCTATTCTCTCCCCTTTTTCCTCCTTCTTTTACTCGACCTACCCTTTCGCGGTCCTCTCGTTTTTATTAGTCGCGCTCCGCCGGTCGTTGGAGTGTTTATATTAAACGAGATAAGAGAAAGAGCTTTCCAGAGGAAACATCATCGACAAGCGCGCTATGTCGTACAGGTCGGAAGTTCGACTCGATGGTTTGGAAGAAGAGAGAGAGTTCAGTTATTCTATTTAACCCAATTTCCAAGTGGCTGGCTGGCTCGCTCGTTACGTCTCATTGAATGGCGGTCGTTAAAATTATCATATAATAATCGTGGCGCTCTTTAATGTCCCAGATTACGCAAGTGACGCCAGAGCATAGCTTGCGTGCAAAAATATACGCGTGCAGAAAAAAAAGCACACATATGTATAACGTCTGTGTACGTCGGCACGTGTATCGAACCGTCCCGTACGGTGTACCGGAAGTGCGCGAGCTTGAGCGCACGGCACTCGGAAGATCGAGATACGAGACACGCGGGAGATATACGTGCGCGCGTCCGACAACCAACGCGAGATAACGCAGCGCGAACGCGAACGCGACGCGACAACAGGAACAACAATAACAACAACAACGATAACAATCGGATCGTCCGCGGCAGGCAACGACGGAACTTGTATCACATTATACGAGCATTATGTGCCCCTCGATGAGCCCTCGAAATGCGGGACGCGGCAAGTTTCATCACGCCCGACCGCACTCGCGGAAGTTCCTCTCTCTCTTCAGGTACAGCGGTAACTTCTCGCCACACATACGCACGAGGGAAATCGGAGAAACTTGACGGAACTTGGGACGCACAATGCACCGCGAGAAGGCAAATTGAATTCTCTATCGCTCTTTCTTTCCCCCTTTTAGTCCTCGTTTTTTCCCTTCTTTCACCACTTAATTTTTCTTCGTTGCTTCTGTGTATCGTGGGACATCGGCCTTATCAGCTATCGCGCGCGTATCTTTAATCGAAAGAGGGGACTCGGTTACCCGTTGTCTGACTACCCTCGGTACGGTAAAGAACGAAAATATGAAGGAGATGTAAATCTTGCCCGTATCCCCCCGGATCGATCTACGATCTCTCTCTCCGAACGGTGTCGTTGGAGGCTCAGGCAAGTGTCTCGGACTGATAAGATCCACTCCAGCCACTCGAGGATCATTCGATCCTCTCTTGAGAAAAGGCGTCAATCTCGATCGTCAATCTCAATCGTTCTCGAGGTAGGATCGCGAGTTTGAGGGCGGCCGTTTTGAAAGAGTAAGCGGCCGGGCAAGAGGGCCGCCCGGGCTTTGTCGCACGTAAGAGAATAATCGCGCATCTGAGGGTATGAGAAAAGGGGTATGAGAGCCGGTCGAAGACAACAAGAGGTTCGGGGGCTGCCTTCTGTGGGGACAACCGTGTGCCGTTCGCCAAAACGCGGACTGCCACTCTGGTCGACGGTGTGACCTACTCGCACTGCTCTCAGCTGCTTCCAATCCCCCAAAGTCGTACCGCCATCCCTACCCCGTGGCCATCCCTACCCTCTCGGTTTCGCGTTCACCCCCGGAGCAGTCGGTATCCCTAGCCCGATCTTCTCCGTCTCGGCCGCTCTCCCACCCTGTTTCAACCACCCCCCCACAATCCCTCCCGAACCCCTCGAACCGAACCGTCACCGTTCCCTCCGCCTTCGTCCCTCTGAACCCCCACTACGGAACTGACAGCGCCACTTCCACCCCGTGGCACCGCTTCCATCCCTCTTAGCTCCCTTCGCTCCCCTTCGACTGAACCACCTCATACTCGCCGCACACTCTCTCACCGCAGCTCTCAGAAAACTCCTGTTACCGCAAAACCTTTAACGTTTTCTCCTAAGCTTTCCGTCGCGTTTTCGATCTCGATCGTCTCAACGAGTCTCGAGACTTCGCCTAGCCCCCCCTCCCTCTACTCGCCCGAACGGGTTGCGAACAACCCGGTGATGAGCAATTGCTCTCTCGCGTGCGCGGGGCGCGAGTGACTTTCTACAGCAAACAGAGCACGGCGAACATCGACGCCAACGGTTACGTACTCCTCCGCTTCGCGCTCGTGCGCGCGTGTACACCACCGTGCACATGGAACACGCATCTATGTATGTCTACGCGTCTACGTATCATTAACGGATCTTATCGATTGTTGTGCCGCGGGTACACTCAGGCGCAGGAGTGCCGAATAGACGTTAACAACGTAATATGCTTAAACAAGAAATGGGTTTTGTGAATTTGAACAGCATAACGCAGATATGCTTTAAAAAGTATCTCGCTTTAAAAATACACGTCGCGATCGGACAAACTTTACTGAGAAAATATCAACCCCGCGATCTAACTAACAAAATATGCCACTACTTTTAACCTATTATAAAGGCTATTCTTGTATAAGGAGACAGAAACATCTCAAAATATTGCGCAACTAATCACCTATTAAGCAATATCATTTTTTTATCGGTTGCGTGCGTCGTAAAGTGTTTTCGTATGAGACATCAGAAGTAGGGGAACGCGTTCTATCGCGTCGCACGTGTCTCGAAGGTAACTCACCCGACATCGTCGGTCGGGCTTTTAGCCCGGCGCACGTTTTTCCCCCCCTGAAATAAGAGCGACGTTACGGCGCGAGCAAGTTTCACAGCTGAAAGTTTCACTCGAGCCGTACCTTCAGGTTTGCGTAAAGGACACGTTGTATGCGAGCAACACACACCGGGGATTTTCTGTTATACAATACGATAATGCCATTTTAACCGAATTGACGCGAGTCAAGCACTCGACCGTAGAGATTGTAAAAGTTGGTGGGTAGTATTGCATTTCGAGGCGATAAAATCGACGATTCGAGAAAGCATGGATCGATTGTTACGCGAAATGTGAAACGTGACCAACATTTCGAACGTCCTTCGAAGGTTTTGCCGTAACCCTGATTAGAAGCCGGCACCTGGCACCGCAAAATAATATCGCGAAATGCTGTTGTACATCAGAGAGCGCTATTACGAAATGAGCAGTTTACGATCATTGTTTGTTGATTCGCGTACCATATCAGTTTTTACATGTGCATTATATTACAGGGTAATTATACAAGATGTATAACTAAAAGTGTTAGGGACTATTATTTCTTAAATTAAAATATGAAATTTGTGTGATGACCTTAACGATTCCAACTAGAAAAAAAGTAACTTCATCATACAATGTGGTTGACAGTTCAGTTGACAGGAAACAAAAATTTTATATTTTATTTTATTTTATTTTATTTTGTTTTATTTTATTTTATTTTATTTTATTTTAGAAATAATAGTCTGTGTACACTTTTAGTTTTACACTCTGTATGTGAAGTTATATACAATTCTCTATATTTTGTTACTCCTTTTTCCATTTTCTATAAACACTTTTCTTAAGTTATTCGCAAAATCTATTAGATTGATAAAGAAAATTTGTCATATTTGTCAAATAAAGTTTAATACAAAATTATAACAACATTAAAGCAAAATTTCCGCCACAAACTTTAATACATCCTTCTTCTCATTCAAAGAGAAATTTCTCAATTCCTCTTCCCCAAGAGAACTTCGGATTTCTAACTTTATTTAATGGAAAGCTTGACGGAAAGACACAAAACCATTCTTATCGACTTAATGGCCGTGCGGAAAACAAATATCTGCAAGCAAACGAGAAGCTTTATCGATATGCCAATTACAATATTCCAGCTAGCTTTTCTCACGACGCGCTCACTTCACCTCGATAAGGGGTTTTCTCGCAATATAATCGCGAAACGTACCGTATAGCCGTCCCCGCAATCGGACGTGGATATGTATGCGAGCGAATACATTTGCAGTCGCCTGCCGCGATTCTTTCCAAATAAAATACGACGGTTTTGATCACGCCCTTGGGATAACCAGCGATTATCGGCTCCAACCGCCGCGCGGACGCCATTTATACACGGAGGAATAGATCCGGCGAAACGGAAACTAGTCGGAGAGACAGACCAGCGGTAACTTCCGTAAACTTCCGGCCGAAGATGGACGTTGATGGAACGCTTATCCGTCTCATCTCGTTTTTCCAGAGATTGCTGACGAGCGCGCAGGAAGTCCCAAAGGAGCCCATCGAGAAACCTTCGGGAATCCACGCCTTTTTTTGCGACGCGTCACCGGTCTGCCAATGTTGCCAGGATTGCCATATTCTAGATTATATATCACGCAATGTACGCGAGTCCGATAGTTCCTGAGGTATAAAAGCCCGCAGCCACTTCGTTTATTACCAGTTTGCCCGTATCGGTTGAGCGATCGCGTGACTCCGGAACATACGAAACGGAGTTACGTGTTAAAATGAGAATACACGAGACATCCCGTTGCGCATCTATCACCGATATTAAAGATTAAATTCGAAATAGTCACACTATTATCTCAAAGCGATAACATTCATACCAAACGAGTAAAATTTTGCGAATTAAAGTTTGGCAAAGAAAAACGCGCGGGCGACGGCATAAATTAAGACTCAAATATTCGGACTGCAATATAATATCTGAATTATCCGATTACTCAAATCTAAGTACTCAAATTATCCGGATAATCTGAGTCTTTCGACTTCGTGAATTCGGGTCCAAACTATCCAAACAAGAATTTAGACGGAAAACTGATTGCAAAACATAATATAACAAAATTATATATAAATATTTAAAATATTTAATTCAACATTAAATATTATATAATTATATATAAACTTATATATTTATTACATGTGTGTATAATAAAGATTGTTTTATATATTTCATATATGCTTCATAATCACATAATACAGTATATGCTAAAAATCTTTAGAAATAAAAAAACAATTATTATATACTTTTAAATTTTAATACAAAAATGTCAACTGGTTTACATTCTCAGCTTCTTTTAGATATAACGATATTCCCCGTTGTGGGAAATATTCTTTCAAAGCTAGCAGAAAAAGCAGAAATAGCTAAATAAATTTTAGCTCTCTCTCTCTCTCTCTCTCTCTCTCTCTCTCTCTCTCTCTCTCTC